GGGCTCCTGGCCTTACTACTAGGAGCAAGGACGCTGCTAGGGGCTCCTGGCCTTACTACTAGGAGCAAAGACGCTATTAAGGGCTCCTGGCCTTACTACTAGGAGTAAGGACGCTACTAAGGGCTCCTGGCCTTACTACTAGGCGCTATTAAGGGCTCCTGGCCTTACTGGGTGCCTTACTACTAGGAGCAAGGACGCTACTAGGGGCTCCTGGCCGTACTACTAGGAGCAAAGACGCTATTAAGGGGCGCTAGGGGTTCCTGGCCTTTTTACTAGGAGCAAGGACGCTACTAAGGGCTCCTGGCCTTACTACTAGGAGCAAGGACGCTACTAAGGGCTCCTGGCCTTACTACTAGGAGCAAGGATGCTCTAAGGGCTCCTGGCCTTACTACTACGAGCAAGGACGCTACTAGGGGCTCCTGGCCTTACTACTAGGAGCAAAGACACTATTAAGGGCTCCTGGCCTTACTACTAGGAGCAAGGACGCTACCAAGGGCTCCTGGCCTTACTACTAGGAGCAAGGACGCTACTAGGGGCTCCTGGCCTTACTACTAGGAGCAAGGACGCTATTAAGGGCTCCTGGCCTTACTACTAGGAGCAAGGACGCTACTAGGGGCTCCTGGCCTTACTACTAGGAGCAAGGACGCTACTAGGGGCTCCTGGCCTTACTACTAGGAGCAAGGACGCTACTAGGGGCTCCTGGCCTTCCTACTAGGAGCAAGGACGCTACTAGGGGCTCCTGGCCTTACTACTAGGAGCAAGGACGCTACTAGGGCAAAGGGCATCGCTGCTAGGAACAAGAAGCTACGCAATCTCGACACATCGGAAGACATCTTTGAGAGTTTGCTGAACTTTGTACTTGTGACTCCCCGCCAGGGCAATAAAGATGTCAAGGAGGAAGCGACCGACCTTTTGAAAAGGGTCGGTTGGCAGCTTACGAGCTTCGGCGACAACCAGGCTCAAGTTCAGGTGAAAATGTGTTAACTCCTGCCTCATGTTTCTTGACTCAAGGGATAACGTTGCTTGCGAAACTCAGGCTATTAGAGCCAATGAATAGAAGATAATGAAAGAAACACAACATATCAGCCACCTATTCCAGGCCACTTTGGTGTCCAACGACATGTCCTTTGAAGAGCTTCATTGGACATTGCTACAAAAGCCAAGAAATGAGTGGAGTTCTTTGGCGGCCGAGAAGTTGGCAGAGGCCAAACAGAAGTGGAGCTCTCTATGCTCTTCCTCTCAGGCAGAGATGAACCAATTCATTACATATACTGTATATAGTTATATATATAGATTGATATCTAATCAGGCACGCAGTAGGACCCTCCCTGTCACTGTTAGAGGTTGGTGCTAGATTTTGAGGGAAGTCAATGCTTCTCTAGAAGCCCCTATGTCTATACTGTATGTTTGTGCGAAACCAAGTTGCTGGTGATGGGAACAAACTGCACCCTCTGACTGCGTGAGTTAAGTTGTAGGACGTTCAATTCTTTATTTCTTTTGTTTTGCTTCTAGAATTTTAGCTTTTACGGAGTCATGACGTGCGCACAGCATCCCCAGTCCAGGAGGCTTCAAAGCCCACGTCACCCTTCGGTGCCTGCGGAGCTTCGCCATTTGCCAACGCTGCTGGCGCCGCTAGCGCTAGTGGTGCGAGCGTTCCTTCACCCTTTGGAAGCGGAGCAAGAAGTGTGTCACCTTTTGTCCGAAACTCGTGCGATTGAGAAGACTCGAGTCACAACGATACTGTTTAGGCATCAGCAGTTGCCTCCCCTTTCGCGAAAGTTCAGTGGTCCTGGCGTGCTTTTGTTACGTTGCAGAGGTCCATCATCAACACAGAATCATCGGAGCAAACATTCTGCAAAACTGCCAGGTCACAAGCAGCAAGTCCAGTGAAAAGCCTAGCTGAGCTCATATCAAGGTACACCAGTAGTAACACTCCCAACACTGTTGTTATGAGCACATACTGATGATGGGACCTTAAACATTGAAGTTGTCTTGTTCTCGTTTCGTCTGAGGCTGGCTTGGAGCCAGTGACCTTAAGGCTGGCGAATGCATAAAGAAGTGCGAACAAATCAACCAAAAAAAACAGATTGAGTCTTCACAAATCAAGTGAACAACTCAAGCCAATCCTTGGTTCTGCCTGATTTCTCATTTGCAAGGCCTCATGAGGAGCGCCCGCTTGATGATGAGGCCTTCCAAAGGGCATCCAAATTGTGGAGACGGTCACTTCGGACAATTTGAGGCACACAATTTGTCATTTTGAGAGGCTTTTTGATCTGTTTGCCAGGCGCTCAAGGCTTTCCAAGCACTCACTTTCGAGTGGCAAAAGATCCCCGAGGTGGATTAGAATCATGCCAAGCTCAAACAGAATCTCTTCTGTCACAGGTGGAGCCGCCACCATCAGTGTGCTGAGCCAGACTTGAGACCAGTTTGTGCGCCAACTCTTTCAGGGAAAAAGACTCCTTTTTTTGCAGTGCACTTGACATCGTGCACGAGTTCGTGCACACCACCTTTACGAAAGAGTCATTGTAGATCCTGTGGCCATTCTTACATCGACCCATGTGAAAAAAAGCTGAGGGACAATGCAACTTCCACAGTACGTAACTTTCACACAGGACTTCTTGAAATCGATGGATGGGTTGAAGTTCACAGGTGAATCTTGGGCGGCGGCCTCAAAAGCTCAAACTTCTGCAATCACCACATTTCGCTAGTCTATCCAGAAGTTCAAAAGCTGCATAACCACGGAAACACGGAGTATTCGGTACATCTGCCCAGGTCCTTCCCAAGGTTGACGACGTGGTTGAGTGCACGATTAAGTCCATCAATGACGATGGTGCCTTTGTGGAGATTGACTCTTGCCGAGTGAAAAGTTGGGCACAGATCCCAACGAGGCAGGTCTCACACGGTTCGGTCTATTTCAGCATACTGCAGTGCGTAGCTGATCGTAGGTGCGTAGAGGCTCGATTCGATGGGTGACTTTTGTGATGCATGCAGCATGGTTGAGTCGGTCACTGGCACCCTCGAACAAGAGCGTTTGTTCTAGAATTGGGACCCCAGCAACGACGCATATGTCAATTCTTTCAATTAGTCTGTGCTCAAGTGTTTGATTCCAATAGTTTTCTACATAAGCTGATGGTTTTGCAACAACTTTGCGCTTGCCATAGAGAGAGAGAGAGAGTGTGTGTGTGTGAGAGATAGAGGGAGAGAGACTGCTGCCTACGGTTTCTGTTGAACGTTGCAATCATCATAATGATATATATATATATAAGTAGGGCTAACGCCCTGGCGCCGCCGACCCCCTTTTTGGGGCAAGGATCGAGAGTCCAAACACTTCTTCGGGCAAGCAAAAAAGGTACAGGACTGAATCACATTCATGGCTGGCAGCCAGGCATGGCTTTTGGGGCTTCGGGCCTTTCCAGCGCAATCTGCTTGGAAAACATTCCTTAATGCCTTTAGCCTATAGTCCATAATAAAAAGAGCGTTCGGGCTTAGCCAGGGCCTTTTCCTTGTCCTTCGCATGTCTTGTCTGGTCTTGGGTTCGAGTTTTTTTGGGTCGACGGGTCGGAAGAGTCGCAGTTGGTAGAAACCAAATGCAGCATGATGTAAGAACCTAGGCTCCTATGAATAACGACAATAATCAGCTACCTGTCATGTACCTGTCGTGATGCAAGAACCTAGGCTCCTGCTCGAAAACTTAAAACAATCAGCACATAACAAGGTAACTCTACCAGTCACTTGTATGTACTTGTCTCAAACTCCACCTCTAGGAACGCCACAACCGCCAAGTGAGGAACCTCTCCCAGGTCCCACACCGAGCCTGAGCGGTTTTGAGCGACTCGTTGCGCCACACCGCCAATTGCCGAGCCTGGGCGGGTGGAATCGGTCCCAAAACAATCGACGTTGTAGGCGGTTTGTAAGGGCCACTTGCTAAGCCATTCCACCATACCTCTTCCCAATGCCAAAGGACCCAAACTTAACAACGTGAAGATGAACAGCTCAACACTTGGCTCTTTTTGGAAGACCACAAGAGCCCAAGCTCTTCCGCAACTCAGCCCCTTGCCATTCCGGGAGTGTGCATCGGCAGGTTCAGCTGCCTTGCAACCAGGCACTGGGTGCTTTAAACATCCATTTGGCCATTGACAATGATAAAGCATTGATAAACCAGACTCTCCCAATCCTTCCGAGACCATCCAGACTCTCCACAGACAGCTTCAGAGACTCACCCCCAAGGCTCCCGGCAATCTCCTCTGCCACGCTTTTCCATCATCTAATTCCACATGAAAAAGGGACTTGCCGCGACGAGCCAGAATGCCTAACGCCGTCTTCGGAAGCCCATAAGTAGAGGTGCTGGCCGAGCCCTGTTTCTCTCTTTCTCTCTCTCTCTCTCTCTCTGTCTGTCTGTCTGTCTGTCTTTCTTTCTTTCTTTCTTTCTTTCTCTCTTTCTTTCTGCCATACGCCAGAGACTCCAGAGACACTTGAAGGCTTCCGGCAGCCGTCTTTCTTCTGGTGGCCGCGCCGAATGTCTCTACCTCCACGCTCCACAGACAGCTGCAGAGACTCACTCCCAAGGCTCCCGCCAATCTCCTCCGCCACTCCAAGGCTCCGGCAATCTCCTCCGCCGCGCTTTTCCACCATCTACTGTAACTCCACACGAAAAATGAGCGCGCCGCAACGAGCCAGAATGCCAAACGTTGCCCTCCGGAAGCCGATAAGTAGAGGCGCCGGCCGAGCTGCCCTGTCTCTATCTACGCCATACCTCCACAGCTCCACAGACAGCTCCAGAGACTCACTCCCAAGGCCCCGGCAATCTCCTCCGCCACGCTTTTCCACCATCTAATTCCACACCAAAAAGGGGCGTGCCGCGATGCCTAACGTCGCCTTTGGAAGCCCGTAAGTAGAGGTGCTGGCCAAGCTGCTCTCTCTACCCCATACACAGACAGCTCCAGAGACTCACTCTCAACGCCCCCAGCAATATCCTCTGCCACGCAGAGAAAAAAACCATCTAATTCCACACCAAAAAGGGGCATGCCGCGACGAGACTCCAGAGACTCGCTATCTTTCTTCTGGTGGCCGCTCCGAATCACAGCTGCACAGACAGCTCCAGAGACTCTCTCCCAAGGCTCCAGTAATCTCCCGCCACGCTTTTCCACAATCTAATTCCACACCAAAAAGGAGCCAGAATGCCTAACGTTGCCTTCGGAAGCCTATAATGTAGAGGTGCCGGCCGAGCGTAGCAAGCGGCCCATGGCTGGAGGGGAGCCCGCAGACCACGCCAAATTGCCAGGCTCCCGCCAATCTCCTCCGCCGCGGCTTTACCCAATCTAATTCCACACCAAAAAGGGTCGTGCTGCGACGGGCCAGATGCCTAACGTTGCCTTCAGAAGCCCATAAGCAGAGGTGCTGGCCGAGCGTAGCAAACGGCCCATGCGCGGCACATCCACTGGCAACGGCTTCCCCCCTGCGGTGTCTCAGGCGCCGCCCCGCCCCTAGGCATCAGCTAGGCCGGGGTCGGCGGATACATTTCCTCACTCTTCTACCACTTGCTTCCTGTCTTCCTTGAGCCCAAACAGGTTATCTTCCTTACTGCCTGTGAGCTCCGTGAGAGAGGCCGCAATTCGCCTTGGGCCTTATCTTATCGTTTGGTCTCACATTTTTAGCTGCCAGCAATTGCATCTGCCCACAAGTGCTTTGCACCCGTGTGTGGCAGGCAGGACTTGAAGTTGGAATGTCTCTCTCAGCAGCTGTTGTTGAGGAAGGCTTTCCTCGTCCCTTATACAAAAGTGCATTTTTATCAGACACATTCTGACTTGTGTCGTGAAAATAGGATCATTGGAAATGCGGTGTGTCTGGAAGGTGCGCGGTCTGTGGTGCCTGGTGACAAGGATGCCGTTCAATATATTTTGCCGCTGGACATTGGCATTGGGAAAGCATCATCGTTTTCTGGAATCTGCAAACCCTGAGTGGGTAGTCATACTTGAGTGCACTCACGCCATTTTCATTCACACCATCCAGGCCGATTCAATTTTGCTCCAAGGTCGCTGCAAAGTCTTCAATTGGATTCGGCATGGGACAAGGTGCCTCAGACATTGCTCCAAATCAATCATTTGTGTCACGCTCTATATTAGCCTCAATCTTGCAGTGCTGTTACCAAGTCTCATAAGCAAGCTTTGAGGGTTTAAATATGGGCATGCAAGGAAAACTTATTATATTACGACATGAAAAGTGACATGCAAAGCTCATTTCTCTGTCTAGCCAGTCAGTCTATTTTAGCAGTTGTTGGAACTCACATAACATTTGTGATACCGTTGAAATGCATTTCGTGTTGCTGAGAATAGTCATACCATTGGAGCTGTCTTGTTGAAAGGCCATTAAAAGCTTTAACGGTGAAGCGGGTGCAGCTCTTAGATGGCAGCTGGGCATGTGCAGATGACGCTTGTTTCTGTCTCCTTTCTACTGCTACTTGCTCCTTCTAGAATGTTGGATGCTGATTGGTTCCTAGGGCCCTCTATAACGCCAAAAATTGAAACATAATTATTGACACAATGTTTGTTTTAAGGGTTCTCTATGATGCTATTTCTTGAACCTACTGTTTTATTATCTGAAAAATGTGTGTTTCAAATCCTGCGGAGATTTGTGAACACTACTAAGCCAATCGCTGGCTTACTGAGAGTATTATGGGTAGTCATAGGTTTCTTTAGTTCTTCAGAACTCACAGCTTCCCAAAGCCATCAATTCCTTAATCAATCCTTTATATAAAGATTGTTCCTAAACACAATTTCAAGGTAGTAGACCAGGAAGGCCCCTTAAGGGTTCTCAATTGTGCAAAGTTTTTTTGTCAGAAAATGTATCTGAATACTACTAAGCCAATGGTTGGCTTGCCGAGAAAACTTTGGTAACCATAGGTTTCTTTCGAAAGCCATCAAATTCTTAAGCAATCCATCTGGCATCTCAGTCTTAGTTCATCAGGCTTTCCAGCTTGCGTGACAATTTAAGTGGCTTGAGTTCTTTTTGTATTCATTTGTGGTCATTTCCTCCAGAGTGCGATAGCTATGGGGTTCATACTTCAAAAAATAACGAGCTGGTTGCGCGCGCTTTCGAGACAGCTGGCGCCGGCGCTGTGAGCTGGCTGTGGGAGCTTTTGAGAGGCATGAGTATCAAGAAAGACTACTATCAGTAGCAGAAACAAATCCGTTGTACAGTTGCTATCACATCGAAAAAGATTTGTTAGGAATGCAGGAAGGCAGGAAAGGAAGGGAAGGAGGAAAGGAAGGACGGACGGAAGGAAGGAAGGACGGACGGAGGGAAGGGAGGGAAGGGAAGGGAAGGGAAGGGACAGGAACAGGAACAGGAACGGAAAGGAAAGGAAAGGGACAACAACGAATTACTTCAGTTCAAGTGATCCCCACCATGACATTTCAATCTGACAAGTTTTCTGGCAGGTGTTGAAAAATTAACGCGGC